AAATTGGATTTTTTTTTTAAAAGGAGATTTTAAGAGGAAAGACAAAGTGTATTTGTACAAACTTTGATAAAAAATGGTAATATTAGCAACAAATATAAATTCTGGTTAGATTTAATTTCAGTAAACAAAATTGAGGAATGGGCTGAGGGAATTAATATGGCAGATTAGAAGAAGTTGTTTTATAGCTGGCCTATCCGGTACTGTATCAACAACACTTTGCCTCCAATCTGCTCTCTGGTTTCAGTTCTTTCCTGTAGTTCAATTTGAGGGGCTTCTATGTGGTCTGTCCCACATTTTGAACGAATTCATCATTAATAACACTATTTGGAAACCTTGTACTGCAACTCAAAATCTCAAGAAACATACCCCAGATCTAGAGTTTGTCTTGCTGACTGCGCTATAGGAGACTGTCTATGAATGTAGTATCACAGAGATTTTTCTTTTTAAGAAAATGTGAATTGAGTTTCTAAGGTTCCATTACATAACTGAGTAAAAAATTCCCTTTACTGTTTTCATTTACACTTGTGATGTACATTAAGCACCAAGCTAGAGAACTGAATATGAAAACCAAACTCGGCACTCCTGGGTGGCTCAGTCATTAAGCATCTCCCTTCGGCTCAGGTCATGATCCCAGGGTCCTGGGATCGAGCCCCACATCGGGCTCCCTGCTCCATGGGAAGCCTGCTTCTCCCTCTCCCACTCCCCCTGCTTGTGTTCCCTCTCTCGCTGTGTCTCTCTCTGTCAAATAAATAAATAAAATCTTAAAAAAAAAAAGAAAACCAAACTGGTGGTTAAAACCATGGTTCCTATACAGTGGCTAACTTAACATAATTTAAAGACAAAAAACAGAAAACAAAACATGGTTCCATGGATTTTACTCAGTACTCACACTTTCTTACAGGTTTCTTGTTAGTACCATTCTTTTTTTTTTTTATGTTATGTTAATCACCGTACATTACATCATTAGTTTTTGATGGAGTGTTCCATGATTCATTGTTTGCGTATAACACCCAGTGCTCCATGCAGTACGTGCCCTCTTTAATACCCATCACCGGCCTAACTCATCTCCCCACCCCCTCCCCTCTAGAACCCTGTTTGTTTCTCAGAGTCCATAGTCTAATTAGCTGAGCCATGAGTGACAATCAGCTTGCTATCATCAATTTATAAAAACAGCACCATGAATCAATAGGTAAAATAATGTTTTTATGGGAGCGGGCATATTATCAAATATTCATTTACCAGGTGCCTAGTAGTCCCCGTGAAAGGTGCTTTTTTTTTTTTTTAAAGAGTTTGTTTATTTATTTATCTGAGAGAGAGCGTGAGAGACAGAGAGAGCACAAGGAGGAGTGAGAGTCAGAGGGAGAAGCCGACCCCCCGCTGAGCAGGAAGCTGGATGCAGGGCTCAATCCCAGGACGCCGGGATGCAGATGCATAAGGTATTGAGCCACCCAGGCATTTGGGCAGCCTCCATATCTTGGCTATTGTAAATAATGATGCAATAAACATAGGGGCACATATATCTTTTCAAAATAGTGTTTTCATTTTATTTGTGTAAATATTCAGTAGTGGAATTACTGGGTGATACGGTATTTCTAATTTTTATTTTTTGAGGAAGCTTCATACCATTTTCCACAGTGGTTGCACCAATTTACATTCCCGCCAACAGTGCACCTGAGTTCCTTTCTCTTGCCATTCTTGTCATCACTTGTTATTTCTTGTCTTTTTGTCTATCACCCAGCCACCCCATCCATCCCACCCCCCCACCACTCCAGCAACCCTCAGTTTGTTCCCTGAGATTAAGACATTAAGACATTAAGACATTCTGACAGGTGTGAGGTCATATCTCACTGTGGTTTTGATTTGCATTTCCCTGATAATCAGTGATGTTGAGCATCTTCTCATTTGTCTGTTGGTCGTTTGTATGTGTTCTTTTGAAAAATATCTATTTAGATCCTCTGTCCACTTTTAATCAGATTATCCTCTTCTTTGTGGTAAATTGTGTAAGTTCTTTACATGTTTTGGCTATTAACCCTTTATTGGATATATCATTTGCAAATATCTTCTCCAATTCAGTAGGTTTTCTCTGTGTTTTGTTGATGGTTTCTTTAAACTGTGCAAATGCTTTTTATTTTGGTGTAGTCCCAACAGTTTATTTTTGCTTTTGTTTCCCTTGCCTGTGGAGACATAGCTAAAAAAATTTCTATGGCCAATGCCAAAGAAATTACTGCCTATGTTTTCTTCTAGGAGTTTTATGGTTTCAGGTCTCACATTTAGATCTTTAGTTCATTTTGAGTTTATTTTTATGTATGATGTAAGAAAATGGCCCAGCTTCATTCTTTTGCACATAGCTGTCCAGAAAAGACATGTTCTTTCTATTTACAATCCCTAGGGTACTTTAAGATGCACTCCTCACTCAGGAAGATGTCTAGACCAGAATTGGACAACAGACCTAATTTATGCTGATCAGATTTTTTTTTTTTTAAAGATTTTATTTGAAAAAGAGAGAGGATGATAGCATGTGAGCAGGGGGAAGGGCAGAGGGGGGAGACAGAGGGAAAGAATGTCGAGCGGACTCTGTGCTGAGCATAGAGCCTGACTTGGGGCTTGACCCCATGACTCCACCCTGAGATCATGACCTGAGCTGAAACTGAGTCCAATGTTTAACTGAACCACCCAAGAGCCCCTCTTTTTTCTTCCTTTCTTTCTTTCTTTCTTTCTTTCTTTCTTTCTTTCTTTCTTTCTTTCTTTCTTTCTTTCTTTCTTTCTTTCTTTCTTTCTTTTTAAAAAGAGTTTCAGCAGGGTTAAAGCAGCTGTCAACGAGATTATGTAAATTACATAAACTAAATGGATGTATTAGAGTGAGGACTGATGTAGATACCATGGTGAGTGAAAGTAATGATAAGCAAACCAAAGTGGCATGGGAGTTTGAAAACATGAGTAAGGTTTGAAACCTTGTGGAAAGGTGAGTAATATGATAAGCTCTCACATATATCATGGTAGAGATTGGAACTTACAAATTTAGTCAGTTTTTACGAGATCCCATGTAAGTTACATAACTTGTCCAAGTTTCTGTCTTTTTCAGTGAAATAAATGAGTTGAACCTGGGAATCGCTATGGTTCCTTTATATTGCTAATTCTGTCTTTTAATGACACAGCTGTCTCTGGTATAAACGATTTCTGAAATAGGGGTCTTCTTTAGGAACCAGTAGCAAAATGGACTATTGACCTCATTCCACCTTCATTCACTCATTTAACAAGTATTTATTGAGTATATACATCTTTTTTTAAAAAAGATTTATTTGAAAGAGAGAGAGGGAGGAAGGGAAGGGCAGAGGCAGAGAGAGCATCTCAAGCAGACTCCCCACCGAGCATGCAGCCCCATGCAGGCCTCAGTCTCACAACCCCGAGATCATGACCTGAGCCAACATTGAGTTGGATGCTTAGCTGACTGAGTCACTCGGGTGCCCCAAGCATGTATATCTTCAGGCACTGTGTAGGTGTTATGGACACAATGAGAGTGAATATGGATTCTACTTTCATGGACCTTATGAATAAGACACATTGATGAAATAATCATCCAAAGATATAATTACAAACTTCTGTAAGTGCTATGAAGAATACATAAAGCTAGGACAGCATCTAACAAGGGGCTTGGCTGTTCTGGGATGAGGTCAGAGGAGACAGCCCTGAGGAAGTAACGTATGAACTCAGAGAGCTGGAGGATAAATAATGATTAAAAAGAAGAATATCCAAGGCATAAGGTGATCTTGGCAAAAGCTGCGAAATTCCTTAGTAGTCATTATCAGAAAATATACTTGCTTCCCTGGGTTTGGAACAGATTGTATAGCACTACTGGGATACTTAGGGTTTAAACTCTTTTGCAAGTATTGCACATATGTATGAGCAAATTCTCATCATGGATTGCTAGCCTTCCGGACTATGCTTGTGAACAAGTTTCAGCCTTTAGCTACAATAGTGCTTGCAAAAGTCTAGGCATCTTAGGCAAAAGGGAGAGCTCTTGACTGAACATGACGGAAGATGCTAGCCCTGAAGGGGTTGCCTAATCATTTGACCCAAAAATACAAGTTTGGGATATTATTATCACCACAGAAGTTAAGTGGGTTGATGGGAAGCTCTTTATATTTACTTTATATTTTTATATTTATTACCATCAAAATTGCTTTTTAATGGATGAAAGCTTAGTTTAACAAAAAATGACTGGGTTCCTATGATGTTCTAGCATATTCTATGAACAAGGGATAAATTAGATATAAGAAAGGTCACAGATATCTACGACTGATAAATATAAAATGCTCTCTATTCAAGATTGGAATTGTGATCCAGCTACAGAAGGAGTAGAATGATTATTCTGATACAGATAGGGTGAGTGGAAGAGAGCCAGCCTTCCCAGATGAGGTGATTGTTGAGCAGAGTCTGTTAGATGTCTGGAGCCCATCAGGCAGAAAAGAAAGGGAAAACTATAGCTGTTGGGCCTAGTCTAGCTTACCACCTCTATTGTTAGGCCCACAGAATTTTTTTTTTTTTAAGATTTTATTTATTTATTTAAGACAGAGTGAGTGAGAGAGAGCACAAGCTGGGGGAGGGCCAGAGGGAGAGAGAGGAGCAGACTCCCCGCCAAGCAGGGAGCGTGATGTGGGACTTGATCCCACGACTCTGGGATCATGACCTGAGCTGAAGGCAGATGCTTAACCGACTGAGACACCCAGGTGCCCCACAAGAAATGTTTTTACAGATAAACATTTTCAATCAACTTGAGGATAGAGGACACTGATCTTGAACCCCAATTAAGCAAATTATTATCTTCCCCAAAAGAATTCTATTATTCTCATTAGTAGATCTATTTTTTTTAGTTACATTTTTGTCATAAAAATTTTTTAGAAATTTGTTTTATTTTCTGCTATATAAGCACATAGATAATATCCTCGATTTTCCCTCTTGGTCCACAAAGTCTAAAATATTTACTATGTGGCTTTTTATAGAGTGAGCTGGCCAACCTCTGAGTAAATGAGAGATAAGAAGGATATCATGAAAGGAGAAGAAATGGACCAGGAAAGACCATCTGGTATGAGTGGCTGCAAGAGGATATTAATTTTCTGATTATGTATTGGTTGATTTGGAAAATATAGAAGTGTAATAAATGTTTTTGCCATGTAGAAAAAGTAGTATCATCAAGTTGCAACTTAAGATCAATGACATTATGCATTTTTAAAAGCTTTATGCCATTTTCAGCAAGTTTAAAGCAGGTAAATAGAATTCCATACATATTGGCATTTTTTATGCATCTTTATGTAGCTAAGGACAGAATTTCTTACATTTTTAATGCAATTTTAAAAAATACAATAGTGCAAATGTGTGTTTTTTTAAAATTCCAGCAGTATAAAATGACACACAGTAGAGTGAATTTCCATTTCACTTTAGTCTTCTAGTCCCTCAGTATGACAGTTTTCTCCAGAGGCAATATATTTTGCCACTTCCTTACACTTCATATCTACCATGTATGTGTATATAGCTCCAATTTCTTTTACTCACATTCTACATAAGGTACTGTATCTTCCTGTCATCACTTAATATAGCTTGAAGCTGGTTTCATATCACTTTCTATAGTTCTCCCTTATTAATAGCTATAGACTATTCCAATGGATGTATGCTACAATAAATTACTGTGTTCATACATCTGTATACATTACTGGATTTCTATATGAAAATTTTCTAGAAATGGAATTTCAGTGCGAAAGATATTTGTATTTTAAATTGACAAATATTGTCAATTTGACTCTTAAAAGTAGAATGAATTTATACTATCACCAACTAAATATCATGGTGTATGTTTTCATCAAAATACTGTAATCAACAACTTTTATATCTTTGCCAGACTGATAGATGAAAAAACAAGGCATTGTCTTGTAATTTTACCATACATTTCTCATATTATCATGAAGTTGAACATCTTTTCATATGTTTAAAGATCATTTCCTTCTCTTTGAACTAACTGTTCATGTTCTTGGCTCATTCTTCTACTGGGATCATGTTCTGTTTTAAAAATAAAACAATTCTTGATAGTACTGTGTCAAGGAAAGAAATTGTATTCAAGCCAAATTTTGTAGATGGAAAAAAAAAAGTGCCTTATTGTTCAAAGGTTTCAACTACTTTACCAGAAAACGAGAATTTTCCCCACTTAGCTTCCCCTTACACCACGTCCTGTGAGAGTCACACAAATGTATGTGATCCAATCAATATTTTTTGTGAGCTAGCCTCTCTATTAAATAATCAGTTATTGGCCCAAAGTCTAAATGAACAACTTCAGAGATACAGATCCAGGGTAGAAGAAAAAGTAAAGTGAAATCCTCTTTATGTAACAGAGCTAGTCCCAGGAAGGCTGGAATAGTAATCAAAAGAGATGAAAAACTAGGCAGTTGTAATTCACACAGAACAGCTGAAAATTATGTAAAGTACACTTAAAAATGGAATTTAGAATTAAAACACACACACACTTATTTGAGTAAAATTTTTAAGGCAAGTTTGTTTCTTTCCTTCCTTCCTTCTCTCAGAGAGATAGAGAGAGAGAGAGCACGAGCCCACACACAGAGAGAAAGGGAGAGGGAGAAGCAGACACTGAGCAGAGAGCCTGATGTGGGGCTCGATCCCAGGACCCCAGGATCATGACCTGAGCCAAAGGCAGATGCTTAACGACTGAGCCACCCAGGCGCCCCAGCAAGTTTCATACTGTCTTGAAAAAAATATGCCAACCAAGAACATGTTTTATAGGAGACAGAAGTTAATGACCAGATAGCTTTTCTTGGGACCTGTGTTCTTTGCCTAGGTATAAAATTTCCTGAGGTTTAACACATAGGCTAAAATCCAAAGTAAAGTTCCTCAGAGGTGTGAGTCTCTCAGCTCAGCACTTTGGTGCTTCCCTCTGCCAATAAGTTGTTAAAAAATTATAGAGATTTACACGTGTATGTGGGTAGACACCCAGGAACATGAGGGCATTGAACTAAAGAGCTCCAGATTCTGTGCTTATATTAGGAGGATCCTTAAGGGAGCTCAGTCCAAACTCTGACATATGTCCTTTTCGGGCAATTAGCCACTGTCTTCCATCCAAGTACTAACCAGGCCCGACCCTGCTTAGCTTCGAGATCAAACGAGATCAGGCGCGTTCAGGGTGGTACGGCCGTAGACATTAATTAAGACAGTGGTTAGCCACTGTCTTAATTAACTTTCTTCCTGGGCGCCTGGGTGGCTCAGTTGGTTAAGCGACTGCCTTTGGCTCAGGCCATGATCCTGGAGTCCCGGAATCAAGTCCCACATTAGGCTCCCTGCTCAGCAGGGAGTCTGCTTCTCCCTCTGACCCTCCCCCCTCTTGTGCGCTCTCGCTCTCTCTCATTCTCTCTCTCTCTCAAATAAATAAATACTTTTTTTTAAAAAAAAGAAACTTTCTTCCTACAGGAAAAGGTACCCAAATGCCCTCTCAGGTATCTTTCTTGAGGGATCCAGTATGTCAAACACGTCATAGCTCAAGGTGCATTGCTACATATCAAGTGAAAGAAAGCCTTGGCAAGAATTTCCTACTTTTATTAGTGACATTTTACTAGCACCCCTTAAAAATGAAAACAAAACTGGAAGCAGCTTAGAGGCACATTTATTGTGACTTTTCTTGCTAAGATAAGGCTGAGTTGTGGATTCTTTTCGATGATTTTCATTAGGAATAAGACTGGTTATTCTGATGCTTTTTCCATAATATTTGATATCATTAACTACATATGGAGAATTTATTGAGTTGGAAAATCCCTTTATGTATGTTAAAATTAAAGATACATATACATATATATCTTTTTAAGCTCTTTTACTAGTTTATATAGTACTTGATGCTCCTGTAAATTTTGGCTTCAATCCACAATTTGATTTCCTGTGCTTAATCACTGTGTGCAGAGTCAAAAGAAGCTAAACTTTCCCTTGGAAAACTGCTATTCCAAATGGCCCAATGCTACATGTGTGGCCTGTGGAACACCTTCTCCATCAGCTATAGACAACAGTGAAATATTCTAACATTTAAATTTTCAAATAAGAGATTGATTTTAGTTGGCTTATCACATTCATACCATTGGCTTATCATATTTCTACAATAGTTTCATTTTATGATCTTCTTTCTCCTCTTTCCATTTCTTATCGCCCATTTCATCCTTTATTAGCCTCTGATCTGCTGCCTGACTTCCTGAGCCAAGGTAGTTTCCTGTCACCCTCCTGCATATCTCTTGTGTTCCGCACACATCTTCACATTCCATTTTCCCCTATCTTTGCTCTTTTAGGTGACCAGGGTCCTTTTTGAACATTCTTGGGACAGCATTCTGAGATAATTGAAGGGAGCAGAATCATGATTATCCTGTTAAGAGGAGATTATTTTAAAGCTGTTTATATTGTGTGGATTTCTATCTTTTTTTTTTTTAAATATTTATTTATTTATTTATTTATTTGTCAGAGGGAGAGAGAGAGCACAAGCAGAGGGAGCAGCAGAGGGAGGAGCAGGCTTCCCGCTCAGCAAGGAGCCTGATGTGGGATTTGATCCCAGGACCCTGGGATTATGACCTGAGCCGACTTATGACACTTAACCAACTGAGCCACCCAAGCGTCCCTGGAGTTTTTGCTTTTGATATTTTCTGGAGCAACTTAAGCTATTTGATATTCAAGTGAAGTGGTTAAAAGAGAAAAATCTTATATCAAAGCAAAAGCCACCTGTCTTGCTCCCTCCATTCCAATTTTCTCCCTGCAATTATTTCATATGTTTTAAACAAAAGTCTGATCCTGTCACTCCTCTGATTTTAATTGTTCTCTGGTTCCTGTGGCTTTTAGGAAAAATCTCAAATCCCTTAACAGGGCTTCCGAGGTTCCCTATGATCTGGCATTTCTCTTTATCACTTCCTTTTTCTCCTTGCCAGCTCTATGGAGAAGTGAAGGAGTCATGGTTAAGAGCGTGGACGCCGGAGACAGAACCCTTGGCTGTGGAACATGGTTCTTCCCACTCCATCTCTAGTATCTTGAGTGAGTTACTTCACACCTCTGTGCCTCAGTTTTTTCACTTGCAATTTGAGATAATAATTGAACTTACATCAGGAGGTTGTTTTGAGAATTAAATGAGATAACATATCCAGGGAACTTAGAGCAAAGTCTGATACACAGTAAGTGCTAAGGAAGTGTTGTAATTTTTACCTCAGTTCTTTTAAGATGCTATATACTCTCTGCCTCAAGATCTCTGTACCAGACTTTCTTTCTTCCTAGAACTTTCTCTCTCTCTCTCTAAGATTTACTTATGAGAGAGAGAGAGAGAGAACATGTTTGAGCTGGGGAAGAAGCAGAGGGAGAGAATCTCAAGTAGATTCCACACTGAGCCCAGAGCCCAACATGGAGCTCGATCCCATGACCCTGAGATCATAACCTGAGCCAAAATCAAGAGTCGGATGCTCAACTGACTGAGCCACACAGGTGCTCCAGAACTTTCTCTTTTTATTTTCACCATTATCTGTATAATTTTTACTCCTCCTTTTTAATAGTCTAAGTTCATAAGAGAAATATATATATATATATATATATTATATATATATATATATGTATAGAGGGATTAGCCCACATGATCACAGAGGCTGGCAAGTCCCAAGATCTGCAGGGTGAGTTGGCAAGCTGGAGACCCAGAGAGCTGATGTTGAGTTCCAATCTGAGTCCAGAGGCCTTGAGAGGAGGGAGAGCTGGTGTAAAGTTTCCATCTGAAGACCCAGGAAGGGTTGATGATTGATTTTGAGTCTGAAGGCAAGAAAAAAAAGCTGATTTCTACTTCAAAGTCAGGCAGAAAGAATTTTCTTTCTTCAGGTAGATCAGTCTTTTTGTTCTATTCAGACCTTCAATTAATAGGATGAGGTCCATCCACAGTAAAGAAGTCAATCTGCTTTACTCAGTCTGCTGATTTAATCTCTTCTAAAAACACCCTCACAGACACACCCAGAATAATATTTGATTGGGTACACTGTGGCCCCAACAAGATGACATAGAAAATTAGCCATCACATCTTTCAAG